TATTTTTTTTATTGTTGTTAGTTTATGTTAATTAGTGCACGTTATTTAATTAAATTATTAAAATAATTCAAAAATTAATAACTAAAAAATATATGTTCACTCCATTTCCTATCCAACTTATACCCGATTATTTTGGATAGAATCCGAGTACGAATAATACACTTGATCGGGTAGGATAGGTTAAGAAAAAAATTTTCTGTAAAATATCGAGTAGGAAAATGAAAGACTCCTACCCGTAAGATAGGGTGAACACCCAACGAATCCTATCCAAGTTTTTGGTGTGAGTTCGAATCTCCACTAAAACAATAATTCTAATTTTGGTTTATGGGTTGGGAGATCGATTCATACACCCAGAATTTGTCTTTGATTCTCCTTGTATTCACGAGCCTATGCGACACAAGCATGCCCTACTAGTCAAGGACAAACTAAGAAATTCTCCCATTACCTCAATAAAAGAAAATTAGGGAACAAGATTTATATGTCGGTCACGTTTCATCATTTTTATGCAGTGATATTTTAAGAAAATTAGGGAAATCAAAAAGTGATGAACAGTGAAAAGTAATAAATTATGTAACAAGTTGAGTAAAAGAATAAATAGCGAAATATTGTAGGTACGAGTAGTAAATTGTATGAGTGATTATTTATTTGTGAAAAAAATTGGTTGGAAAAATAGAAAAGAGAAGGTCTTCTAAAGTGTCCTCTCAACTAATTTGTTTCTACATCAGGTAGCTTCGGTTGTGTGAGTGTGTTTATAAGTCTTCACTTGACTCTTATTCTTTAGAGTAAATGGTTAAGTGTGAATCAAAAAAAAAAAGAAAAAACTAATTTGTTTGATATAATAATTTAGATTGGTAGTATAAAAAAGTTGATTAATTTTTGACGTGAAATATAAAGTGATATGATACACTAAACATGAATAATAAATAAATTAAGTTATTTCAAATATAAAAAATTGATTTTTGTATAAAATATTCATTTAGCTGGTAAGAGACTTAACTATAAACTTGTACGTTCTGAGTTTAAATTTTAACAATTTTTTGAGACTAGGTCATGAGAGATTTATCCCTCATTAATACTCTAGTTTCAATATAAATGATTTGCCTTTAATCGAATTGAAAAAATGATTAGTCGAGGTACGTATATACTGACTAAAAAACCTTAGACCATTGAACCAATAGAAAAAATTATATAATAATTAATATGAAGCCAAAATAACACCCTCAATTATCACTCGCACAACTCGACTCTTGGTAAGGGCAAGATCGTCTTTAAGGTTTCATATCACCGTCGCTAGAAAGTAAGGAGGGTTCACCCTACCTTACGGGTAGAAAATATGTTCTTCAGTCTTTCTACCCGATACTTTGCAGAAGAATTTTTTTTTTTGCCTACCCTACCCTATAGGTGTGATATTCCTAACTGACTTCTTACCCGATTAATTGGGTAGGAAGTCGGGTAGAAAATCAGGTACATATTTTTGTAACAATTAATTTTTGGATTATTTTAACAATTTAATTAAATAACATGCAACAATTTAACAATACAATAAATCAATTAACACTAAAATCTGAAACAACTACATAAAGAATTGTAATAAAACACAAGAAAGTATGAACATCAATTCATCGTAATTGTTACAAAAATACAATAACAATTAATTTAAGTTTAAACTTTAAATTATATGAAATTTATTAAAATCATAATTGCTCCGCCTGTGATTAGGGTTTAGGATTTTTTTAGTTTATATATATATTAAAAAATTATTACGGGTAGGGTAGGGTAAAAATGTGGAACTAGATGACTATTTCACATTCTTACCCGGAAATTATAGAAATACCAAAAATTCTTCCAAATTTCTATTCAATATTTTACGACTAACAATTCAGTAGGATAGGGTAAGATATGAACTTGCGGTCGATCAGAAATTTGAACACCCCTCCTAGAAAGTATGGAATTTCTAAATCAGCGCTCGTCTGCCTAAACCCGTCCAAAATAGCATTTGTTGGACCATTGGCATCAGGAAGGTCATTTATGGTATTTCACACTCCATGGGTTGGCCATTAATCAACAATTAAGAGCCGCCCTAATCAAATTACTTCTATTTATCTCTACGCATTAGTTACCTAAAAACGTTCTATCTCCTTTCTTGCTCCTCTCTTTCTCTCTCTAAATCTCCATCTCTCTCTCTCTCTCTCTCTCTCTCTCTCTCTCTCTCTAGACTTAAGCTTGCTGGATTAGGGTGTTTTCAATGGCTTGAAAGATCTGCCAACTTGACCGATATTTCCTTCAAAGTCGCCTTCACGGTACTTTTGTTTCTTTACTATTTCTAAATTGAATCTTGAAGTGGAATTAATCTTTAACTCCATGTATATTAAGTGTTTGATTATTGTTTCTGCTTTTGAACGAGTGAGTTCTCGTTCTATGATTATCATTTTCCAGGTTTATCCTAAACTTTACGTGTGTTGATGTTGCTCGAATTTCTGGGATTTCAGTCATTAGTTTGATGCTTTTAAAGCTTTTTGATTGCGGCTGTTGGGTTTTGGTTTATGAGCTGCTTATGTATAGGCTTCTGGTTCTTTAAATCTTGAACAATACTGAAAAATATTATTTTGACTATTGATTATCCCAGTGATATAGCATGCTTCGACAAATTGAGGTTACTGATTATTGGGTATTTGTAATTTGATATGATTAATTTATGAACTACTTGCTATTTTTTATTGTGGGGTATTCTTAGTTATTTCTATTGCTTTGACTATATGGGTTTCTCCTCTTTGTAAAACGGTGGCTCTCTCTGATAGAATTGTGCTATAAACATATAATCATGGCATGGTTGTGATGGATGTCACCGAGGAACTATGGATCACTGTTGTCTGTTTCGTCCCTTATTGGTTTTGGCGTAGATCCCACGTTTTTATGGACTTCTTTGTGGTTCTGCATGCTTTGATTAATTTTAGAATTTAAAACAGCTTCTAAAATTGTTAGTACACTACATGTGAGAATCTAACGTCAATTAAGGAACAAATTAGAAGAGATGTGGAATTATAGAGATCAAATTTTATTTGCATTGGTTCGAGTGGCAATGTTTTATTCCTATAAATGGGGTTGAGTATGGTTAATAATACATCAATATCGTTTTTTGGTTCGTGGATGTAGGTACGGTGTACCGATATGGGTATGTTGTATTGAATCACGATATATATTTGGTGTTTTGTTTTATGGTATTTTTCTATCTTGAATTCCTATCCCCAAACAGTAGGTATCAATATTGATTAATTGCTGTGCAAAACCAACAAAAATAATCAATTCCAGGTCTTTGTTTTCTAAAGAAACCTTCAATGCCTTGTTACTTGTTCTATGGGTTTTTCCCTATCATAGGTATCATCTTCCTTTGAAGCTTGAGGTCTGGGTTAGATTGAATTGTTTCAAGAATATGTACATTTCTGATGTAACTTATACAGAGAAGTTAAAGGGATAAATTTATCTTGACTGATAGTTGTTCTAAGGCTAAGTAAATGATGGTTTCTTTGAGCCCATCCTCTCCCTCATTTTTCCTTTTTTTTTTTTCTGTTGTAAATGTCTTATTGACACCTTCTTTTCTCCTTTTCTTTTAGTAAATTTGAGGATTGAACGTGATGTGTTTGTGGCATGAACTAGTCTCCTGTGTGGTTATTGTGAGGGTTTTATATATATGGAATGAAGTATATTATTATCTTATCAATATGTTTAATTTAGAAGTATGTCACCCACGAGTCATTATTCATTCAGAAAAGTTAAAGCGCTATGGTATTTATCCAGTGAGTTTGCTAGTGTGTCACTTCGTCAGGATATTTGCAAAAGAGGCAAAAGGAAAAATGATGAAGCAGAGTCTAGTACGATGATGGTACATAGATGTGAAAGTTAATTTTTTGCTGATATATAATGGTTAATTCTCTGTTTAAAGGCTTTACTTCCCATCTCTTTTTGGGTTTTCCATGTCTCAAATTATGTTTTGGGTTGCTCACATTAGGTGCTGTCTTGCTTCAACTACTTCAGCGATATATGTGGGGAAAATTCGTATAGAATTATTTGGATTACAAATAAATTTTTATTATTTCAATTATGTATTACATAGACTCGTATTTTTTCTTTTTGCCCATGTTGGCTTCATTTGTCATCTTGACCTTGTTCCTCCATTCTCTATTCGAAAGAGCTCCAAAACTTAGTACCACATGGTGTATTTCTTTATGCTTCAGCTATATTCTATGTATATAAATATAATACATCTATACACATGCACATATGTATTGCTTGCTATGTATTTTGTTTCAATTGAAACTTGGGTTCTAATCTAGCTCGAATGGCAATGTCTAGAACCTAATTATTTGCTAGTAATTAACCTGTAATATAGCCTTTGTCTGATAAAAAAGATTAAGTGGAGTGTGTGAACCTTTTATTTTTTGATGCATTAAATTACTATTTTGTACAAAAAAAATTGTTACCTGTCTGAACTTCATTACATATTCCAACATTCTGATGGTTAATGCATTTTGCTCAAGGATGTATATCCCCTCCATAGATCAATAACTTGACCTAAACTATTTCAGTGCATTTGCTTGGTATTGATTCATATTTCGAGTACAACTTCCTCATCTTTGATTTGTTATCAAATAGTGAAAGATTAGGATGTTCTGTTCTGTCCTTTATCAGGTGAATGAAGCTTTGGGAGTTTTCAGCAAGAAGCATAAGTTGCATGTTGATCTTGATTGCTTTCATCATAGGGTTCTATCCAAGAAATGTTATCAGATATAACCTGTATTCCAACTGATCTGGTGCTCTCCTCCGTAGATATATAAAAAGATGGACAGGGCAGACACATCTGGATTTGTGAGCGGAGGATGTAGCTTATTAGAATTTCTCCCACTTGTTCTTTTTATTTTGATTTATAGATCTTCCTTTTAGAATGTGGTAAATTTTTCTTCTAGTTGGTCCCCTTCTTCCCTGGAAAATAGTAGATAGCTTCAATGGATCTCAATACAAGCTGTATATTGTTCCCGCATAATGGGGAGCTCACGAAAAATAACAATTGTGGTGATACCGCTTTGCGCTTGGATTGCTTTGGTTATGGAGGAAGCAAAACTTCTGGATTTGGGAGCACTCAACCAAACACTGAAGGCCGTCTTATCCCTTCCAATGCTCCTGATGACAGTTGCAGGTTGGTACTTGGATTGGGCCCACCACCAAGTACGTACTCTGATAACTTTTACCCTATTGGTGTGAAGAAAGACAAAGGATTGGCTGCTGTGTTGCAACAGAGGTTGTCATCTGAAGGTGATTCAATCCTAAAACTTAGCCTTTTTGGAGGGTCTGAGAAAATTTCTGGTGAGATTGAGTATTCAGTTTCAACAAAGAGTCACTTGAATGCACCTCCTCACCATGACCAAGTATCTGTTGATAGAATACTGGTACCTGTTGTTGATGAGGGATCTACTACTGCCAAAAAATCAGGTGGCTATATGCCATCGCTTGTTATGGCTCCAAAAATGGATGGAAGCAAAATTTTGTTGCAAACTGGTCTTTTAGAGCCTGGGACAAAAGCTCTTTGCCATTCTTCGCGGTTAATCTCCGAGCCTTCTTCTGTCACGGACTACTCAATGAGCACCTTCTCTGACACTGCAACAGTTGGAGCAAGTTCAGATCACAGGGCCAGCAATCCTAAGAAATGCAAGTTCGAGGGGTGTACGAAAGGAGCACGGGGAGCAACGGGCCTCTGTATTGGCCACGGGGGCGGACAAAGATGCCAGAAACCTGGGTGTAGCAAAGGTGCAGAGAGCCGAACGGCCTACTGTAAGGCCCACGGAGGAGGGAGGAGGTGCCAGCATTTGGGGTGCACTAAAAGTGCTGAGGGGAGAACAGACAATTGCATAGCACACGGCGGTGGGAGACGTTGTGGCCATCCGGCAGGGTGCACCAAGGCAGCACGTGGCAAGTCAGGACTTTGCATCAGGCATGGTGGGGGGAAGAGGTGTAAGGTGGAAGGCTGCGCCCGCAGCGCTGAAGGGCAAATCGGATTGTGCATCTCTCATGGGGGTGGACGCCGTTGCCAGTTTGAAGGTTGTAGTAAGGGTGCTCAAGGGATCACTATGTTCTGCAAAGCACATGGTGGTGGAAAGCGCTGCATATTTTCAGGTTGCACCAAAGGTGCTGAAGGGAGCACCCCACTTTGCAAAGGACATGGTGGGGGAAAGCGCTGTCTCTTTGGTGGTGGGATTTGCCCGAAGAGCGTACATGGGGGCACAAACTTTTGTGTTGCCCATGGTGGTGGAAAGAGGTGTTCTGTTCCAGACTGCACCAAGAGTGCACGGGGACGTACTGATTGCTGTGTCAGGCATGGTGGAGGTAAACGTTGTAGGTTTGAAAACTGTGGGAAGAGTGCCCAAGGTAGCACAGACTTCTGCAAGGCCCATGGTGGTGGAAAGCGGTGCAACTGGGGAGAGGGAAAATGCGAGAAATTTGCGAGGGGTAAGAGTGGGCTATGTGCTGCGCACAGCAGCATGGTTCAGGAGCGTGAGACTAACAAAAGAGGTATGATTTCACCGGGACTCTTCCATGGGCTTGTACCTTCAGCCTCAACTGTTGTTAGCAGCTTCGACAACACTTACTCTTCATCGGGAGTGAGTGTGGTCTCAGATTCTGTGGATTCATTTGAGCAGCCGGTTAAACGACAACATCTCATACCCCCTCAGGTATTGGTTCCTTTATCTATGAAATCTTCCTCAAATTATCCGAGACCATCAAGCTCTGACAAACAAGATGAAGGAAGCACCGGTGATGGCATTGGCAGCAATGGTGTGAGAAAGAGCTTTAATTTTATGATTCCAGAAGGGAGGGTCCATGGTGGCGGTCTCTTGTCATTGCTTGGTGGAAGCCTGAAGAATGCCATTGATGGGATTTAGAATTGGTGTTGGCAACAGCCCCACTTCCCCTTTTTATGTTGTTGATTATTGTTTTCAGAATGATGGAACTGTGTGAAAACAGGTTGATGCATGTCCAGTAAGTCTTTAACTTTGTGTTGTTTAACAGGATTGTTGTTGTTAAATTTATTCAGTGTTCCATTGTAAAGATGCTTGGAATTCTCCTTGTTGCTGCCTTGCCTTAGAATTCTAGTGACTTGAACACATACCCTCGGAATGATCAATTGTACCTGCCTTCAAAACTCGACTATGAAGCATTGCTACCGCCTGTAATCTCCCGAGCTTACATGGACTATGCTTCAGAAAAACTAGTACTTACTTACTTCCTCAGAAGATGTAAAACAAGTTGGCAACTTCTTGTTGGTGGAGATGCATATAGATGGTATCTGAATACTGAGTATGAGAACTTAACAGGCTGGTGGAGAATGCAAGCGTAGAGACTGTTTTGTAACCCTTTCATTTTCTAGTTTTTCGTTTTCTGAAAATCATCAACAGCAGGCTTTATAATGTTTTTGTTTTCTTATAAACTTGTTTTGAAAAATGTTTGCGATTTGGAATTGACAAAACAGTTTTTCAAAAACCAACAAAAACAGAAACACTGGTCTTGTTAAGTTAGGTTAGGTCTACTCTTCGACATTATCAAAACACACCATTCCCACACGAGAATATTTCCAGCACCATCTCGCTAATGCTGTCACTACTATCACTATTGTTGTTGTCGTTACCACAATCATTATTCCCACCACCGTTATCATCAACGTCACGCTATCGTCACCCCACCACCATTGCTGATGTTGCCACCACTACCCCCAACCAACACCACCCCAAAGTGGTTTTTTGATTACATTTTCCTTTTTTGACAACAGGAACAAAAATTTTAAAAAAAGTTTTCTCTTCTAATTTTCTTGGTAATAATTTCTGAAAACTTCACTAAATATAAGCATACAAACTAGGCTGTGATGTGGAAGGTAGGCATGAAAATAGGACTGATAATCGAGCTAAGTTACTTGGGTTTGACTCGTTTATTAACAAGTTAAATTTGAATAATTTTTTTGCTCATTTTTTAAACGAGTCCAAATTGTAAAACTCACCTCGTTTATGTGTAAAATATCAAACTACTCGGGTTCGACTTGTTTTGGCTTCGATTTATTTAGAAAATAAGTTGAGCTTTAATAATTTTTTAAACTTGTTTAATAAAAAACTTGATACTCTTGGTTCGATTATCAGCCATTCAGCCCTATATAAAAATGCCATTTTCCCACTTTATTTGTGGGTAAGAGAGAGAAATTTATTACTTCTGGGGATCGCATTGCAAAATATGGAGAGTTCAAGGGTATGGTATAAAAGACCCACGCCATAGACTCAACTGGAGCCCACATCTTTCATAAGCCGTGAGAGAGCTACTGTTCCGTTCTCTTTCAGTTTCAGTTCTGTTCCAAAGAGTGATGGTTTTTCTAAGCTCCTCTCATCCATTTCTCAGTATTTGAAGTTCTAACGTTACGCAGATCACATAGCTCTGTTCTTGAGGTATGAATCGATCTCTGTTTCTTCAGAAAATTCAAAATACGCATGCTTTGCGCTTGCGTTTCTGCAATCAAAATACGTATATAATTTTACTTGTTTCGAAGATTCAAATTCGAAATCGTAATGTTGTGTATGAGTGTAAGTGCGAGAATATGTTGTTCAATTATCTTTCGTGCATTTGAATTTTGAGCTTTTGATTAAAAAAACTTCGATTTATGCAGTTAATCGATCTATTTATTCACTTCGATTTGATCTAACTTTTTCTGAGAATTTAAAGAGTTACGCTTCAAGCCTCCAACGATCTAAGAATTTTCCGGATATCTCTGTTTCGAAATTCAAAGCCGTTTATACTGTAAATCGAAATCTTTTCTCTACACATGCACATCAGGATCCAAATGTTGTAGCTCTCTCTCTCTCTCTTTCACTGTTGGTCAATTTCTGGAATTGCCAAATAGCGTTTGGTTTGAACGCATAGTTTAAATTTAGGCGGGAGTACACAACTCAGAAAATGCGGACTAAAGTGGAAACGAAAGTCAACCATTACACAATCCAAAGTTCTTACTAAGAGCTTGTTTTTTTTCTCACAGATTTATGACATTTAGAATGCAAAATTTCTAGTAAATTGGCATTGATCTAACAGTTCGACGATTCTCCTGTTTCTAATACAGCGCAAGATCTCCATGGAAGGCTTTTACGGCAGCAACAGCTCAAAAGTTCCAAAAATCAAGCCATTGAAAGAGAATGTCTCACCACTCAATCCACAGAACTTCATTGGAAGAAGCCGTTATCACCATCATCCACCGAAGAGCCCCGTTTTCGATTCATACGCATCTTCTGATAGTACTAATTCTCCAAATTCGGGCTCTCCACTAATAAAATACCTAAGATCAGCTTCACTGTCGATTGCCGCCGGAGACGACTCTTACAAATCTCTGGCCGTTGATTCCCCCGAGTGTCACTTCAATAGCAGCAAGAGTAACAGTAATGGTGGATTTGGATCAAGAGGATTGACACCCGTGTCTGTGTTATCGGCGGTGGAGAACTTGGAGACTCGTCCGGCGAGGTCGGCCGCGTTGTTTAAGACGCCGATGAAGATCGAGGAGGATGTGTTGGTTATGGATGGTATTTTGGTCAGTTCAGTACCTTGTGCGAAAACGAGGACATCGTCGTCTTTGTCAGATTCAAATTCGAGGAGAAGGTCATCACTGTCGTCATTAGATTCTGGTGGAACGTCGTCATCTCGGAATAATAGTAGCTATTACAAGACAGAGACTTGTTGGTTCTGGGAGGATTCTGGATGTTGTGGGCTTGGTTCCAAATGCCAGGTCTCTCTCTCTCTCTCCCTCCTGCGAGCTTCTCTTTTCTTTGACACACGACATAGGAATAAGTAATGTTATTTAGTTGTATTTGATTTAAAGATGTGATTTTATTAAAATTATTAGATTAATGTTAAGTTTTAATATATTATGAGTTACAATCAATTCAAATATCATAGTGAATTAGATAGATAAATTAAGTTTCAATATCGTTGTTCAGGCCAAGTCTCAATAACATTGTTCAAATCTTGATAACTCTTTTAAGTCAGACTATAAAATATTTATTTTTATTAAATACTCTAGTCTAGGTGTGAATAGTCAGACCGAAAAGAAAATTTGTCAAGGGCATGGAAGCTCGTCTCCTAGACTGTTTAACTAAAAAAAAATTTAGCATTGTTCGGAAGGAATTTCAATTTCATTTTTGATACTTCTGTTTTTTTTCCCTGAAAGAAAAATATAGAAGATATTTCCTGAAAGGAATGAATGATCGGTGAGTATATATATATTCCCAGGAACAATAGGGCCCCAAGAGAACTTACAGGCTTAGAATTTAGTAGACTTTTGTTTCAGATTTAAAGGCATTTCAAAATAGAACTCCTACCCAAAAGCCAGAACTCACCATCCCTCCCCTAGAACACAAAAAAAGGTAGAAACATAAAAAAAGGAGGGGCGTTTTGCTGAAAAGTACAGCCCTTCAAATGTTTGATTTTTATGATGAAGAAGACTACCCTCCTCTTCAAAAAGCTACAGAAACAAAGAGCCGCAAGGTACTTAACTATTACGTGTGAATGACTCTAGTAGACATTTCTTGGTTTCTTTCTCTCTCTGTGAATGACTCTAGTAGACACTTCTTGGTTTCTTTATTCGGAGAGAATTCCAAGTGATTGATTCTAGCAGACACTTCTTGGATTCTTTATTCAGAGAGAATTCCAAGTGATTGATTCTACGGACACTTGTTGTTTTGTTTATTCAGAGAGAATTCCTTTCTTTCCAAGTTTAATATACAGAGACTTTGGAAAATCCAAAGTTCCAAACTCAGAAGCATATAATCAAGATGTTGATGTATGAACTCCCAGCAGAAAGTACGTGTTGGTTAACCTTTCTGAATTGTGCCAGTACCATGTGAGTTGTTCCAACAAGGATTCCGCCCCAATGTAGTATTGATCCAATTACCCAAATAATGTGTTAGAGCAGCAAAAAACAATGAATTTGATACGTTAGTTGTATTCTATCTGAGTTACATAGTGTTTTATGGTTAATTATTTCAGAGAATGTTCTAAAATACCATTTTTCAAAATAGGTTGACCCTAATAAATCAACTTTATTTGGGCCATATGATCTCTAAATAAAAGTCATCATTGGTAGGTCCAATGTCCCTATCTTGGTTGTCTTTGTTGATAAAGTTGTTTGAGGAAGAGCTGATTTCGACTCTGTAAAGAAGCAGTAGCTGTATCTTGGTCAAGCCTGATCACATCCTTCCAATTTTTGACTGATTTGGACTATGTCAGATATGTTCTTTGATTGAAATCTGATGTGCTGAAGGATCTATACTTCTATGAACTTTGTCATACTAGAATGTCACACTTATCAGCTATTTATCAGGTTGTAATACATTCTTACAAATCCAATTTTACAGTTTGCACATGGAAAGGAAGACCTGCGTCCAACCCGTTTGCCCAACAACAACAAAAGCGAGGTATATACAGTTAAGATTAGTTTTTCTCATCGATTTTCACAGTTGGCAGTTTCTGTATTGAAAATGATGATTCATGTATTAATCCTCCACTGCTGGATCGGTGTAGGCACAAATATGCAAGTCATACAGTTCAGGATTGTGCAATTATGGTGCAAAATGCCGTTTTGTTCATCATCAGGTCACAAATGCAGCATCACCAACAATACCAACAGCTGCTACCATGGACTTGGCACCAAACCAAACAGTCTCACCCATCAAACTTGAAGATACAACCGGCAGTGGCAGCAGCGGGAACATCGTCTCCAAAAGCACTGACTGGTCTCCCCAGGATGATGGCATTAAGGTTGCCCTACCTTCGTGTGCTTCACCTGGCAAAACTCCATCAAAGGAAGACGTTGATGCCCATATACAGAGTGTTCTCTATGGTCCCAGTAACAAGAAGAGACTGCCTGTGTTTGCTGAAATTTGCCCCGAGTAGACATGCACTTCACTGAGGAAATATTCCATCTTCTCCATGGTCTCTCAATTCGTAATTGGTACCCTAGGTATAGTACATATTATCCTAACTATTTCATTTCCCTACAAAAATTTGCTTTGACCCCACAATTTTGCTTGTCTATATACATCTTATAGGCTATATAGCATGGAATTAAAACTGAATGAAAAATATAAAAATGAGTATAACTATCGGCTGCCTGTCTGATAAAATGGTTACATCAGAACTTGCACTTTGAATGTATATAGGTATACTGAGAGTTGTCAATTCATAAGGAACACAAACTTTCTTAGCATTGTTACTCTCATCCTTGAACCTATATACATGTGATTGTACCATAGCCATACGATTTGTTCTGGTTGTGTTCAGTTTTCCAAATAAATAGTTTGACACCTATGTGGGAACTGTTCTGCTTTCCCCTTTGAAGACGACTTCTCTCAAATACAGTATATAGCTACTGAAACACAATCCATAGGTCACAGTCCCCATGAAAAAAACATCCAATGGTGATGGTGAGCAAAGGGCAAATCTAGCCTAATCTTCAGTGATGAACAGCCACAGCAACGATGCAACCCTTAGCCCCAGGTCTGTGTGCGCATTTGTGTTTTGCTTGTAGGGGTGTGTATTATACTTGAGAATTGCTCACACACAGCACAAAATTGTCCTCCCTAATTTTCCAGCCTGTTTTTGGCATCTTCAAGTATTTATGTATGAACTTTGGTGGTGCATGTTGAGAAAGGAGTGTTTGATATGTGCTGTTGAGTTGGGTTGGGATTGGCAAGTGACCTGTGGGCTATGTATGGGTTGACATCAATGTTATCAAAACCGGACCGGTCATCGAACCGACTAGGGACTGGGTTAATGGTTCACTGGTTCAACTTGGGTCACCAATCAAACCGGCCATATAATAAAAAAAATAAAAAATATATATATAATAATTATAAAATATAATAATTTATCTAAAAAATATAAAAATATGTCTAAAATACATACAATTTATCATAAAATTAATGAAGTAAAAGAAACACCTGAAGTAATAATTTATTTCTATGTTTTTTTCTAGGTATTTTCTTAAAATTTCTGTTTCCCTCAGACTTTCATGAACAGCTGTATCTACTTCCTACCATGAACTAACGAGTGGTTGCAAGGCTCTGTCAGATCAAGTGGTTGCTAAAGCTTTTGCAAATTCCTGAAGTGACCGAGATTCCAAGCTTCAGTAAAGAAGCTCAGTCTTATTTGCAAGGCTTAATTGAAGGATTTGGCATGAGTGATGTTTTGGAAGTTAAGAAAATTGAAACAGTGACCAACCATGATTTTACCCATCGAATCACAGCAAAACTTTTTACCTTAAAGGGAGGAGTTGAGTTCGTTGAGTTGAATTCGTTGGTCGCTGATCGATGTCGATGGAGCCTGATGGTAGTTGAGGCCGATGGAGCCTGATCGATGTCGCTGGTCGCTGATCGATGTTGAAGAACAGTCGCTGATCGCAGTTGAGCCAGATCCCTACAAACCCCAAATCTTGTACAAAAAATAATTTAATTTATTTATGTAATATAAATTTTAAATGGGTATTAAATCGGCCGATTTTCTAAAATTCGCCGGTTCACCATTTTTTATGAAAATCGTCCGATTTTTTGGTTTTTAGCTAGTTTTTTGCCTTAAGCGGTCCAATTAGGAAATCGGACCGGTTAAGGTCCCGGTTCAAGGTTGAGCCGATCGGTCCGGTCCGATTCTGATAACACTGGTTGACATATTAGTCCGACAACCCACTGACCCTTGGTTTTGCCCGGGCCACCACGTGGCATTCCATGGGTAGTCTTACATCCCAATGGGTTGGGTTATGATCTCACATCGATTAAAAATAGGAAAATTTAGATGATGGTCCTCCTATATGAACTTGTTTGGACTTAAGTTTGTTAAAAAAATTTATTTGTTATGAAATTCATTTTTTGTCAGTTTTACTAAACTATCCCTATTCTTTAAAAGTGAAAAAAAATTACAAATTAAAAACTCATAAATTTTATGAATTTGAATAACATTAATTTTTTTTTTCTCTTATATTTATCTATATCCATATCACAATGACAATCATCACTAGTTGGCTGGAGAGAGAGAGAGAGAAAGAGAAAGAGAGCTTTGAATTTGAATTTTAAATTTATGATGGAAATTTTATTGACATATTTTAATTGACATTGAATTAAAGAATAACAATTTTCAAGATAGGAAATTAGTTTAACCTTCTTTCAAGGAAGAGTATTTTGGACTTTGAAAAAAAAATAATTGACTTAACTACTTATTAGTAAGATTAAAAGCAGACTAATATCCCCAAATAAATTTTCTTGACTGACCAAACTCATTATAAGTCTCTTGAAGATGATTTAGCCTCAATTTTTACTTAAAAATAAGATTAGATGTATGCATATAAACTCTTAACAACCTTCCCTTGCAAGTCAATTTTCAAGATCAAGTTTTACTCTTGGGTCCATAACAATTGGTATGGTTGTCATGTCGAGTATGAAATTGAACGCAGTGAGAGCTATGACTCTCTATGGTCGAGTCACGGAAGGGGCGACTTATAGGTTGGATTAAGATGATGTATGAATATAGTGTTATTTTATTGAATATTGATAAGTGGGTGGAGTCTTTGAAAGAAAAGGATTATTGTTGTGTCAGTGTCGATAGAGTGTACTGCTGTTGGCATCGGCTACAAAAACGTGGTGGAATATTGTGATTTCACATCGATTCAAAATAAGATTAGATATGTGTATATAGGCCTGACAATTCTGGACATGACTTGTGAAACTAACACGAACCCAATATGGATTTAGCGGGTTTGAGTGTAGTCTTAATAGGTTTGGGTAGTTAACGGGTTAACTCGGCAGATCCGTGAAATAAACGAACCGATTTTGTGTTTAACTCATAAACTCGTTTTAACTTGTTTAACCTGTTAACAGTGGTACTATAATTTTTTTTTAAAAAAGTTAGGTCTCTCAATTTCTGTCTTATCTCACACTTCCCATCTTTCAGACTCATTCAAATTTAATAGTCATTTAATGTTTATTTTTTGTTTTTATTTTTTTACTTAACCATAATTTATTGTTATATTAAACAGGTCAAATATGTGTAATGTGTAGTAAGTTGATAATTTTTTGTGTGGACTCAAAATACTCAACTTATTTTTTATTTAACGAGTGACACGCGGATTATATCAAGTAACCCGTCTAATAAATGATTCGTGTATAAATATGATAGTTGGACTCGTTTATATAAATAAATGGGATATAAATTAAGAATTGTTTGATACAAATCCGTTTCACCCGACACGATTGTGAAGCCTATGTGTATATGAACTCTTTTAACACTTTTTGCTTATAAACCGATTTTAAAGAACAAATTTTACCCGTGGGTTGATAACAACCCCGAGTCATGTTTTTGTGTGATAGACCAAGTGAAGTGGCGCTGCTAAGGCCCACAAAGGTGTTCATCGACTAAGCCCGTGGCTTAGTCCTACCATTCGGCCCGTTGTCCGTGCTGGATCATTATTCGATGGGTCTATCTGACCCGATCAATGGTCCGTCGCCATTTGTAGTAATGCTTCTTCCATCATTTTAGTGCTCATACAATAATTGGAATAAGGACAGTGTCATTGTATTATTGTAAGTTTATTTTTTTAGTACCATCTTGAAACATAAATCTAAGTCTTAGGTTTTTGTTTTAGTTATTTAGAGTCATAGATATTAAACAATAATAAAATAAAGTTTTTCATGGTTTTTTTTTTCCCACATTATGATTGAATAGAAAAAAAAAATACAATACTAAAAGTAACTTTTCAAAACAATATTCAAACCCTTGGAGCAAAGGTGTTGACAAAATGAAAGTATATTTTGGTTGGACATTTGAAATTTTCATAAAGGGAAAGTGTTTTAATCTCGTATTCATTTGGCTCATTTACAAATCATGTACATCGATTAAATTCAAATTCTATATCGATAGTGAATCTCATTTTGGTTATATCTTACAACATTGTTGTGTCTGCATTTGTACTTATTGAAATCTTGTACCAAATTTGAGAAAAAGGCTCATCAATGGTGGACAATGGGTTAAAAAGAGAATCAAATAAAAAATGTATTCAAGAGGATCTCGTGGGCATTTCATGGCATAATTACTCAATAATAATGAATAAATAAAAAGTTATTTAAGTGAATCATACTGATTCTACGTGATAGTTATTGAACGGTGAGTATATATTATGGTAAAAAAAAAAAAGAAAAAGAAAAAAAAGATGAATTCTGAAACTTACACGTGAATGAGGTGAAAAAAAATGAACTATCTAGAGGGTAGTCGACAGAATATAGAGACTGATGCTATTGCGGCCAAAGGTAAAATGATGAGCTTATGCTAAATTTTCAACCCCCTTGATGATGGCAGAAATATGTGGCTGTATTGTGTGAGAATGCTGAGACACTGACTGACCAACTTAGTTATTTTATTTTTAGGATATGTTGTTTTCATATTAATATGAAATTATTTAATTTTAAAATAACTTATATTATATTTGTAACAAAATTATAAATTATCTATTTGTTTTGTTTATAATGCCAGTTCATCGTGAGATTCATGTCTAATTTTAATTTGACTTATTTATTATTTATGTTGATTGATCGTGTCATTTTTCAAGTTTCATTTGTTGTCGGCCGNTGATCGTGTCATTTTTCCAGTTTCATTTGTTGTCAGCTTGTGTTCGTATAAATGGGTAAATTTGACATCCTTTACACCTAACTCAAACATTGATTTGGAGTGAATATTTATCATAGTTGATTTTGCACAACAAGTAATTAACACTAATAATATTTATTAAAAAAAAAATAAGAATTCAAGATATGAAAATACAATAAAATAAAACAAAAAGATATAACGTGATTCGATACAATGTACTCACATTGCTACACTATACCTACATTTTCAGATTAAAAAATTATATCAATATATTATTAACTGAAAATCTAGAAACTGATTACATTATATGCAATCTTATTTATAATAATAAAATATTGTCATTCAAACCTATCCATATATAATTTAATGGGTTAATTATTATGGAGGTTCCCAAAGTATGAGGTTTGTCTCATTTTATTCCATNTGTCAGCTTGTGTTCGTATAAATGGGTAAATTTGACATCCTTTACACCTAACTCAAACATTGATTTGGAGTGAATATTTATCATAGTTGATTTTGCACAACAAGTAATTAACACTAATAATATTTATTAAAAAAAAAATAAGAATTCAAGATATGAAAATACAATAAAATAAAACAAAAAGATATAACGTGATTCGATACAATGTACTCACATTGCTACACTATACCTACATTTTCAGATTAAAAAATTATATCAATATATTATTAACTGAAAATCTAGAAACTGATTACATTATATGCAATCTTATTTATAATAATAAAATATTGTCAGTCAAACCTATCCATATATAATTTAATGGGTTAATTATTATGGAGGTCCCCAAAGTATGAGGTTTGTCTCATTTTGTTCCATAATATTTTAATTACATCATTTTAGTTATAAAGTACTGAATATATTTCTACGTGGTTTCTCAAACATATAACATCCAGATTGTTAATAATTTTTTATTATAAACTTGTCACGTAATACCAAAATATGGAGTAAAAAAAATTGGATAATTTTTGACCAAATTTCTATCCAAATTTTAGTCAAAGAGCTACACAAATTATATAGTTTTGATCATGAGATATCCAAATTTTAGTCAAGAAATATCCATATTACACACTTTTTGTCAAGGCCTAGTCAAATTTTAGTCAAAAGCTACCTAAATTATTTTTTGCCCATTTTTAGGTGTCACATTTAAGTTTATGATCAAAAATCTTTAGGAATTTTAATGTTGTCTGCTTGAGGGACCATAAAAAAATATATTCAATACTTCAGGGATCAAAATTATGCAATTGAAATATTGAGGACCAAAATAAAATAAATTTGATATTTTGAGAACTTCTAGTACAATTAACCCTAGGACCTCCAGTACAATTAAGTCTAACTTTAATCCTTTAGTTTTCTATCTAATATACATATTCTAGGTATATTAAAACGCTTCCAATTTTTTTTAATTCAATGTAGGATTCTCGCATGTGGTGTTCTAATAAATTCCCCTCATGTGCGAATCATGTCGAATTCAAAATCATAGTGCAACAATCAAAACAGATTGTTGACAATCCAATAATCAAATTCATTTTTATCTTGTAGAAGACTCCCCTAGCCAAGTGCATACGATGTGGTGCAAATTTTGATTTTGCCCTGCATACATCAAGGGTGTAATTTTGAAATTTTTGATAACCTATTTGGATCCACCCAAAAAAAAGGAAAAAAGAATATTATCAGAATTAATAGTTGATAATTCTGGTTAAATTCT